TTTAAACTTTTTTTAATATTAAAGAAAAATAATTGATTTAATAAGAAAATTGTCGTGCTCTGTATGGTGTTGTTGCTAATATGAGTTAAGTTTTATAAAATTGTTATTAGTATTAAATATTGTTTATTATCTGTGATTTTTTATATTATTAAAAAGATAGGTTTTATAAATCCTACTGCCGTGTTTTACCCTAGGGATACGACCCGTGATGACATATTGTGTGAAGTAAGACTTAATCTTACTTGTATCTGTTGTGTTGTTAATAGTGTTGTTGTTTACTAATTTATTCATTGAATATTGGGGTTAAAATTTAGAACAAATTTATGATTAAATTTTTTTTAAAAAATTTTTTTTTTAAAACGAATCCTTTGTAGAAACAGAGTTACTACACCTACAAATATTACTTTTTATAAGCTGTTGGTACAATATATATTCTTTAATTAGAAATAAAAACATTTTTTTATAAAATTTTAAACTTTATTTAAATGACTTTATACTTTACAAACTAACATGTTTGCAAAATTTATTTCTTATACCGGTTCTTTAATAATAATCAAAGGAAACCTTAAATTTTTCATTCAACTTAAATTATTTCTATAGATCTTCCAGATTTAATTTTATTTTCAAATAAAAATTTTAACTCAATACAATTCTTATATTGATTGTAAACAATACTTTTGTTTACAATGTTTTTATTATAAATATTTTTATTTCTTAAAAAGTTTCTATTACATTGGTTCCTTTAAAATTGATAAAATACATCAATGTCTTATATACTCTATCTTTTTAATATAATTAATATTAAGCTTAAAATTAAAAACTATTTTTCTTTCCATATAAAGGTGATGTTTTGAACTAAAAATTAAGTCTAAAAATATAATTTTATTTACTCTTAAATAGTCGAATTTTTAACATTTAAAAGATTCAAACACAAATCAATGTTTTTACTACTAAAGTTAAATAATTTATATGAAAACTTGAAATAATATTTAAAAAATTAAAACTTCTGTTTTATTTAATCATACTTAAGGTATTTTCTATACAGAAATCTAATAGATATAATAGTTAGAATTAAACTAGAAAGTACCATGAAACAAAGTAATATACCAATTGATATCTCTATCATATCATTTGTTACAATTTTGAAAAACTTTTTAATCTGATGTTCAAATTCTATAATGATAATGAGTAGTATTATTGAAGTAAAAAGTAAAATCAATGATGTTTTTATACTAAACAAAATACTACAAAATGATGAAGTTGGTTTTTCATTTTCAGAAGACATATTACTTTTAGAAAATTGCATGTTATCATTATTTTCTTGAGGTTGTTGTAGGTAATTACTTGGTTGTTGTATTTGATTATCATAAAATTGGTTATTATTATTAAATTGATTAAATGGTGTTTTACTATCTTGATTAATACTGTTTGGTGGTCTAGTTAAATCTGGATTTTAATAGCTATACTGATTGTTATTACCGTTCATTTTTAGGATTAATTTTTTTTATTATTTTTATATTTGTTATTTGTTATTTTCTTGTTGACTTATCCAACGGGTCACTTATTTCCTTTTTAGTAAACTCGTTCTTTTTCATAATGTCGTAATATGTAATTAAACATATTGAACTAGTTTATTGAATGAATATTTTTAGAGGGAAAATA